TTTTTTTTAATTCTATTTTTTTTTTATCCATTGCATAATTGTTTTCTTTAATTAGAAGTTGGAGCCTATAGACCACAACTGCAGCCAAGATGCACAAAACAATTCTAAAAAATCAACTAGGCATTAAGTTGATGAATCAGTTTTCGGTTGAACCAACACAAACTCTATTTAAAGATGATTGGTTTCACTCTGACGTGGTTAGTTCCTTCTAAAGGTTCTAGGTAAATATTTAAATGTTGCGTGATACAATGGGAGGCCTCCCGTCCAGGGAATTTGTAACCAAATACCCTTGGCAATACATTGATACGTAGAGGCAGGGACATTTTAACAGTTTAGGAAGTAGGGTAAAGATTTAGGTGCGCGTTAATGCTCTTTAGAGGGAAGCAAACCAGGAAGAGTGACAACCAAACACTTTTGATTGTGGTGTTAAAACAACAATCATCATTGTCTTAAAATACATTCCAACCACAAATGTGTACAATGCAACTGTGTGTGGGCTCAATTCAGAGTTGTTGTGTTAAAAGTAAAGGTCTGAACATTGTGAATGCCATGCATGTAGCCTGTTTGCTACATGCATGGCAGTGTGTAGTGTATGTTTACTCCTGTTTTCTTTGCCGAGGCAGACGGCAACACTGAGCCTGGATCTGCTGGAGATTTCTTCCTGAAAAAGGGAGTTTTTTCTCCCCACTGTCGCTAAAATGCTTGCTCAGTGTGATTTATTGTTTTTTATTTTATTATTTTTTATATCCTTTTCTACTTTGTATTGATGTATAATGTCTAAAGATTTCATCCACCATTCCATGCTGTGGTGGATCAGGATTATCTTAGCTGGTTCACATGACAGAAGGTTAAACTGAGTCGACTCAAGGTGAGGTTTTTCACCTTCACCTTCTTTTGTCATGGAATAATTCAGCCCTGGATTCTGTGTTGTGTACTCTGGGTACAGTTTACAAAACCAGATAAGGATCCATCTTGTTTTGTGACACTGCTTACCCATGGTATGCTATAATTTGGTAAAGTCAGTTGAGACTGACTGAGGAGTTAAGCTGTCTTACATGTAAGTGTAACATTTGCCAAACTAACGATAGTTATGCTAATTTGAATGGAGCCTGCACAAAGATGAGATGATAACTATGGAAAATACAACTGTTTTATTCTTGTGCAACAACGGATGAAGAAAAAAAAAACTTTTGCAACTTTGTGTGATTCCCAAAATAAACTGTTAACTTTGATTTTGCATCATGGGTTTTTATTTTCTTTTTAAGTATTTTGTTTTTGAAACACAACATTGTTGTACGATGGTCAGGCAAGTAGACCAATGACGGATATTAATATTAGTCTTTTTAGAGCACTGTTCTGACTACGATGGGATATTTCTCTGTTCGTCCAGACTGGTTTTAGAGTCTGTTTAAACTGTGTGTTAAATACTTTTATTAACATGAATTTAAGGTAATACAACAATGAAGTAAACATACTTTTTGCTCACCAGCTTAATAATAAGGCTTGTACTCAGAGCTGTGCAAAATGTCCCACAAGTAGTAAAAAAAATTAACTGGAGGAACAAAAGTGCTACCTGCTGTTGATTGACTTAAACAATACTAACAAGTTCTAGTATTACTAAAAGCCTAGATGTTTTTGGTTTAGTTATATAAAGGTGAACTTAAAATTCAGGCACAGAATGGCTTTGTTAGAAGCTTCCACAAAGAAAAGAGAGAGCGAGAGAGAGGGAGTACTCTCTGTAGGACTCTCTGTAGGCTGACCCTGAACTCTGACCTCACCAGGGAATGAGGGAAAACAGGCAAAAACAGATGGTTTCAGTAAACCGAACCCCGAAAAGGAAAAACACAGCTGTGGAGACTTTGTCAAACAAGTCATGTTGTCAGCCAGAAAAGTGAAGTAAAACCCAAAAAACTGAAGTTGTTAAGGCTTAAAGTTGCATGTTTGTGATGGATATACTGTATGTTCTAAAATTTTACTAAACACAATCTGGAAATGTATTTGAAAACACTTTTCCATTGGATGATTGGTGGCGTTAGCATAGCCTACAGTGAGTCGTCCAATAATAACCTGGCAACATTTCATAAGTTGGGAACATCATTAGCGTTACGTGATTGGTCCTCCTGGGAAACGTATTCAATACGAAGTCTTCAGTTAAGTCTTCTCATGTCTCGGGTCATCTTTAACCTCAGTCTTAGCTTCAGTGGTCGTTGAAAAGCCTTCAGTTTTCAACGGTGACCAGGCAGTAACATCCTCAACTTTTATAGAAGTCAGGTCACCATCAAAACCTTTGGGACTTTTGCAACTGCACCAGGAATTATTTGAACCAAACCAAACAGAACAGGACTATTTAGAACAGGAAGGAGCTGCAGAAGAAAAACTAGGCTCCACTTTGGGTTGACTGGTTTCCTACAACAGTAGTGGTGCAGTGGTAGGACTGCTGCCTACCACACAGAGGATCTCAGTTTAATACCATCTGGTTCCTAATCCCAACTGAGGGTTGAGTCCGGAAGCACATCTGGTAAAAACTGCTGCAGTGAACACCCCCCCCCCCCATTTTCTGAGTAAAACCGATTAAATTTAGAACACCTTCATAAATTTGTTTCCCAAGTGTTTTTGATTTATTGTTGGTTATTGAAAAATCTCAAATTTGCTTTTTAAACTCACAGTCACTTTCATTCAGTTCATCAACAGTTCAAGTCCCTACAAGTCCCATCCAAACAATACTGAGCAGGTAGTTAAAGTAAATATAATATTTGGAGATTATTTGTGTCGTCCGCTCTGTCACGCTCGTCCATCCAGGAGAAATGTAAAATTATTCCTACGTTCACGTTTGGTTAAGGAAATTGTCACGAAAGGCATGAAGTGATCACGTGACCTGAACAAAGGGAGAAGAAAAAAGACGACATCTGGCAGAAGGAACAGCTGTTTTTAACATCGCTGTTTTCCTGCTACATCTCCAGACGTCCACACGGCGTCAGCAAAATCCCCATCACTGGTACATTCATCAGAACTGTTCAGAGGTCGTGGTTCTGTAAGGCACTCCAACCAGAGCCAGGATCCCAAACAGGACAAATCTCCAAGGTTTTCCTCTGAGGCAGGTTGTGGAGATGTTGTCATTGGAGGTCGAGGACATCAATCTCTGGTTCCCTCCTGCTCAAATCCCACTTTTTTTTTTTTACTGGTCCTCATCGTATCTCTGGAGAGCGTCCTCCAGTTTGGCTGTAATCTTCTGGAAGAAGCTAATCTGCTGACGTAGGTGATGCTGCATCTGTGAACGGAAGTCCCGTACACGTGTGCGATGGAAGTGTTGGATCTCAGCCAGTGTGGCGCAGGAAATTATGTTGCAGCGATCGTGGAGGTCACTTTCACGCTGTGGACAGTCTTTGACTTTAGTCAATGCACCTGGTAAAAAAAAAAAGAAGAAAACAATAAAAAAAAACTTCAAATACATTAATACCATTTAATATTTATCATTTCTGGCAGGTTGGTATTTCTCTCTGTTCTAACTAGCTATGCTAATGTGATAATTAAATTGGTAAACTGTGTCCTGAAAATAGTATATACTAAAGCTAATACTGTCATTTTTGGCTAGGTGATATTTTGGGTAATATTTAACTACATTTGGGTTAATGTATTGTCACCTTTTTGTCTCTTTTATCAAACATTTAGTTTCAGTAAGCTTACCTTTATCAAAAATAAACAATATCATGGTACATTTTAGTCTACATCTGGCCTAACTTTTACTTTTTGTTTTCTCTAAATTTTTTTTTTGATAGTTGACATTTTTAATAACTTATGTTTTTGTAAGTTCTCTTAGGAACTGTGTTAAATGTTAAAATATTTTAACAGCATTTTCAACCCAAACCCCAGAGAACATGTGACTGTTATTCTTATTGTCCTGATCCAGGATTATCCACTTTAACCACGAGTACGTATCTTTTATCTTCCAGTCTTGGCTGAGAGCCAAGTGCTGATGCAGATGTGGATGAAAAGCAGCTGGCAGTCTGCTGTATGTGGGTCAAAGTTTGGTCTTCACCAAAGCAACAATTTCCAGGAATGAAACCACAACAAAATCTCTCAGTTTGTGCGTTTTTCCTTAAAGATGTGAGTCATGTGTCTGGATTTGAGTGACTAACACGTTGAAAGGATGGGGGTTGGGAAGTGAGTGTGTGTGTGGGGGGGGGGGTGAGTGGTGGGTGGGTTGAAGCTGATGATGAAATCACTGAAGGCTTGTTAACTTGGCTGCGTGTCGAGAACATGACGACGGAGTTTGAACAGAAAGTGCCGGTGCTACGCTGGTACTAAACGACCTCATCGACCTATAACGTAGTTGGTCGATCGCTCACTTGCTCGTGCACAGACACTGACACCCAGCCACGTTCTCTTACACCGTCGTGGATTCACTTGTACTTAACTCTCCTCACTCCCGGGGAGATTACAGCGCTGTAATCTGAACTCTGGTCCTGTTGGCCTATGGGAAACTACTGCTGCCATCTGAACCCCCTGACTCACTCACACACACTCCCTCCCTCCTTTTTTCTTCTTCCTCCTTCTCTTTAACCACCAAGAGGAAGAAGGAAAAGAGGGAAAAGAAAAGGAGGAGGAGGAGGAGGGGAAAACCCTGACACGGCTCCATTTTGCATTCCTTCAGTCCCAGGGCAACACAGGAGAAGAGACCCAGGAATCTGTTCATTCACCTCAGACGAAGCCCAACAGACGTTTGTCACGGTGACCACAGACGGACTGGACTGTGGACGTCGGAGTCAACACAGTCACTGCATTTACTGTCTGACCTTTGACCTCCACTGTGACCTCTGGGCTCTGGTTCTGTTTCATACGCTGAGTTTAAATCACAGGGTTTAATCTAGGGGGTGGGGGGGGGGGGGGGGGGGGGAAGGGGGACAGAATCACTTCAACTGTGATGGAAACTCTGAGCCAACCAAACATCCACTCTGCTGGACAGTTTTGACAGCAGTGCAGATTTTTGCGTGGGGGGAGGGATCCAAGGGAGGGTGAGGGGAGGAGGGGACCATGTTCAGAGGGAATTACCCATCAGGCCCTGCTGTGGCTGCAGCCATGGACTCCTCACTGTCTGAAATCAATTCCTAAAGTTTCCCAGTACAGTTTGTTCAAGTCAGATTTTCTTTTTACGATGACTACAGTATATGTAAAAAAAATCCCATACATGCTAGGGCATAAAACCAACCAATCCTTATTTAAAGGAATGTTCCATATAAATTCATATACATTTTTATCATTAGACATTGTTTTATCCTTATATAATTAACTGCATTTTCAAAACGTAACAATGTTTAACAATGTTCATAGATTTTCAGCCTAAGGTAAATATTTGTTGTGAATTAGAGTTACTGTAAATTGTATAAAGTTGACCTACTTCTCTGAGTCCTGTCTGTCACTAAGACCATTGGGATGCAGCCTGTATTTCCACAGTGGGGAGGACTGATTGTGTCCAGGGAGAATAGAACCCTTGCACACTATAGAAACACAGCCTGTAGGTTTGGCAAATGTTGGGACGTTACGTGCCAGGAGTGACTCCCTCCTCCCATCCTGCAGCCAAATAACAGGCTCACTTCATTACAAGTTCTTTTGTACATGTCTGTGCAAGTGTGTTTCCCTACTTTGTCGAATGACTGAGTATCAGGGCTGTTACGGTGGACTGGTCCTGGGTTTCGGTTTTCGACCTAGATTGACGCTGCTCTTGAGGTAAACGGAAACAGATGTGAGCGTGGGTTAGGAAACAGTCAGAATCTGGGCCTTTGTGTGTTTTCTTTGTGAATTAAAGAAACATGATAAAAGGTGAGTCCTGGTGGAGCATCGCTACTCTCAAAAGGAAATGAAAAACAGTTGTGAGAGTTCGTATTTTTCCACAAACCGATACTGTGTGTCTGAATGTAGCTCGCTGCTACATCCTGCATCCAATTAATGTCTGATTCCTTCCAGGTTTATTGGATTCCTGTTTGTCCTCTGCAAAAATCCAAATCTCCTCCAGACTCTAACAAAGAGTTTCAGATCCAAAGCTAGCAGCAGTTAGCAGAGAAACTTCTGACAGTTAGCCCAAAAATATGCAAAGTGAGCTAAAATTCATCAGAATTTTTTTCTCAAAACATGAAGGAAAACCACCACATGTAACTGTCGAAGGTTAGCTGTAGTATTTTATAAAGAGTAAAATTAGCATAATAATTAAAGTCTGTGCCGAAATGTTATCCAAAAAAACAACCACAATGGCCGAGAGCGGTCAGAGAAATAATAATCTCACAAAAACAAACGTCCTGTTGAAACACTGTGCAGATTAATCATGAAAGAATCACGTCGATGTTTGAGGATTGTCCTCAGATCTCAGGTCTTTGGACTGGAGTCGGCGGGTTTCTGGTAACTGTATCAACGTGGTGAAGCCAACAGACAATGACCGACTCTAACAGCATGAATACTTTTATCACTGTTAGACTGTAACTATTTTTATTCAAAGGATTTTGAACAGGAATGGGGTGGAGGGGTAAGTTTGCCTCCTGTGGCATCGATCAAATTGAACAAAAACAAAACAATAACAGTGAAAATGCTAAAAGAGAAGGGCAACAATAATTGCCCACAAATTCAAGAAAGTAAGCAAAAAAAAAGTGCTAAATTAGCCAGGATAACTGCTAATAGTTTCCTCGGGATTATATTTAGTACGGTTAAGAAAGAAAATACCTACAAATCTTGCATTAAAACATCCAAAAATATGGTGGTTCCATAGTGTAGCGGTTAGCACGCCTGCCTCAGAGAGGCCTGGGTTCGATTCCCAGAGGAACCACACACTTGATAATGTTAATCGTCCTCTGTAAGTCGCTTTGGATAAAAGCGTAAATGTATTATAATAAGTAAAAACACTAGCTTAATGTTCTTAAAAAGTCAAGCTGGACATAGTAGTCACATGTTCGCACAAAGTTGCTCAAAGAATAACTTTTAAAAATGGCGAAGCCCTAAATAGTTATTAATCGACGAAGTAGAATTACAGAAATAGATTATTTTATTGGAAGAAATTATTCAAACTGTTATCTGTTAAGACCAGGTGAATGTTTGTAAGAAACACGTCTTGTCATAAAACCACTGGTTCCTTGACCATATATTGGACACACCTACGTTTAAGTGGAATTGTTGTTTTTTGAATTTTGGTTAATTTAAAAACCAAACTTTTCACCCACCTTTCTGCACATGGATGATGTCAGGGAAGTTGGCCATGTGTCCTCTGTAGAGGTCAAGGAGGTCAGATATGGGATCCAGGTCCTGACGTGGCTGTTCAGCAAAATAGTCTCCTATAGCTTCGTAGGCTTCACCCGTGTACGCGATGGCCTTGTTCAGACCTGCGGAATAGGCCTGCTGGTCCATGTCGAAAGACTGGGCCAGGACTTTGAAAGACTGTCCCACTTTCTGGTACTCCTTCTTGAAACCTGCCATCTGTTTACGGGCGAACTCGTTAATGGTGGTGTTGACGACCACGATGTTCTCATCCATCTTTTTGGTGAAGGTCTTGAAGCCTTCGATTTTGCTCTCCACTTCCTGGAGATCCAGGGGTACATCGGGAGTACTGTGTGAGGGACAAGAGGACAACGTGAGGTCCTTTTTTAAGATACTGGTCGTTATATAAATTCATCGTCACATCGTGTTTGTCCCACAAGCGTTACATCACCTTCGTACCAAGACAAAATAGAGCAGATTCTTCTAATGTCACTATCTCATGACAATCAGACCCTCCCAGTCGTTAGGAACAATGCACTCGATTGAGGACAACTAGAACCGATCGCATCATCGTGGTATTGGGTTACTTGGTCAAATTTCAAACTACAGTTGTTTCGTTGGATACTTGAACAAAACATCAACATCTCCATACTTTTGACTCCACCACAAACAGCTGCTTAAACTCCACCCTGCCTTGGTGGAATTATTTTCAAAGATTTGGTTCAAACAGTTCAAGTTAAAAACACTAGACCCCAGGAAGGTCCTTTATTAAGAGCCTTGTAAATATTAGGAGAAGCACTGTGTCCTGATTGGCTGTTAATTCCATAATGTAAACAACAACTCTTTAAGTGGAGTTGTCACAAAAAAACTCGTACTTAAATCCTACCAAGTCATAGGAACATTGATGAAATCTACTTTTTTCTTCTGGTCTTCTGGACTTTTATTACCACAACATCCATAAAAAAGTCCCACTAATGACGATACAAAATGAGGTCACTTCCTGCTCAGTTATCATTTCCAGAACCAGAACCTCTGGTCTGTACCTCTGAGATCCAGATCTCCTGTGATTCATACTCAAACATTCTGAAGAGAAAAAAATACCTAGTCTTACAGGTAGGTGGGGGAAATGACAGGACATTTTCAGGGACTAATTTATGCCTGCAGATTGTTGTGTACGCCTCAGTAGAAGAACTGAAACTGGTGACTGAGAAAATGTTTACCGTCAGAGCTCTGTCTGTCATTTCCTTCAGCATCTCTGTAGTTAACGTCTAACACCAGGCCTGTACCACCAACATCACTGCTTCGAGTTGTTTTCACAGACGGCTGTGTTTGAGCTAACTGTTTAAGGTAACTGTTTGAGCTAACACTAACAGTTGTGTTTGGTCAACTTTGAAGCTACTCATGAGCTTTTCTGCTTCAATTATCTCTATTTTCCAGGTTTACTTTAAACAACTTTTGGTTGACTAAATGTCCATTCTGTATTTTGGCTCACTATTAGTTCTTGGATTAAAGTGATGTAGTTTTTTTTTTTTTTTACGCCAATTCTTTAGCTATCGTTACTAACAAAGGTAGCGTAACATGTTAACGAGCAACAGTGTGTATTTTCTGGCGTTTACGAGGAAAACTCAGCTACAAATCTAATATTTTCTATACATATAGTGTATATATATTTATTATAGTAATCTTGAGCCAACTTAAGAACACAAGAACCTGAAGATCACCAAGACCGATTGCAGTTAAATATTACTGAACGTTGATAGTGTTGTGTTTATATATAAATGTATATCGTATATTGTTAAATCTTTATGAGTCCTGAAAGTCAAAGGTTCTACTGTCTTATCATCTTAACTAACAATAATTAAACTCTCTGATCCTTCGGTGGAGCTGTTGGAAATATAAGCCCTTGACATCACACAGACACCAACACCCATTTACAGCCGTGGTTTGACAGATGAAAGGCCTGTGGAGCCACAGACAGAGAGAGAGAAAAACACAGCATCTGTTAAATATTGAGTCAATTGAAAAATGCTTTGTCTAAGAATTTCCTGGGTCCACCCAGTGCTTTTTTCTTTTTGTTTGTCATAAACCCAACTCCAGGATTTTGAACCCATTCAGTCCCGGACTCACACCCTACCTGATAGTGAGGAAGAAGTTAGCGCCGACCAGTTCGTCCCTCTCCGCCTTCCTCTTGCCCTGTTTCCAGGCCTTCTCGTCCACCCCACATGTCAGGAAATGCTGGAAAACATCACAGCGTGCCAACACAGGGTGGCTGGTCATGTGGTTCATCCACCAGATCAGACCCTTTCTCCTCTTGGAGATGAAGTCCTCCTCAAAGCGCCCCGTGGCCTGCTTCTCAGGCAAGTGGGGCACGGAGATGACGGGGAACCGCTCCACCAGGCGAGCGTAGAGCCAATCAAAGTGTTTATACCTGGACAGGAAGTGGAAGAAGATGTAAGAAAGGGAGGAGGAGGAAAAAAATAAAATAGTAGAAATAATAGCTGCTGTTTTTGGGCTGACAACAGATTTTTTTTTGTTGTTGTTTTTTTTTTAACTCAGCGTGGGTTTGATTTGAAGACGAGAAGGAAAATGTAATAAATGTCACAGAAGGTGAGAAGTGAGAGCATGGCCAGGGTCAAATCTGTTTCTCCTGTTTTGTGGTAAAGAACCATCGGATAGATTGAACTTTATTGATCCTCAGAAGTTCCTTTCTGGCAATGAAGGTAAAAAAAAAGGTATAAAAAAGTAAATGATCTAAAGTTGAGAGTAAGAAGAACCTGTACCTGCGGTTGACTTGAATGTTAGTGTGTGTCGGAGTCAGGCCGTAGGACATGTAGCTCTTCATGCCTTTGAACTTGGTCTGCTTGGTGGGGTCGTCAATGGTGCACGTGAACGGGTACGGGTCGTCCTGCCACTCTGGGCCGTGCTTCCCCATCACCACGCAGATCTTGTCCCCGTCCTTCACGGGAGCTGAAGCCTTGCCCAGCAGGAAGGCCTCGCCTCCGGACTTCACAAAGGTAGAGAACCTGTTGAGGTTCCTCCCCACGGTGGCCGAGCTCTTGGCCTGCTGGTGGTGCTGTCGCCCGCTCTCACGGCGTGCGGGCAGGGACGTGGTCACCGGGTATATGGGCGGCATGTTGCCAAAACCCTGAGGCACACCTGCGGCCGTAGAAGGCTCGTCCCAGTCGTCGTCCCAGTCGTCATAATCGCTGCCCTGGCTGGTGTGGAAGCTGCTCCCTCCCCCGCTGCCGACGCTTCCAACCCCAGGCTCCTTCTGGTGATGGGTTTCAGGGGGTGTGAAGGACGACTGGGTGGTCGGCACCGCTTTGGATTTGTATGAGGAGAAGCCATTGTTGTTGTTGGTGCTGCTGGAGGTGATGTGGTCCCTGATGATCTCCACGTAGGAGGCGGGGAAGAGTCCAGACTCCCCCCTGCTGTTCTCCCCCTTCAGCCACCCCTCATACTCCTCCGTGTACAGAGTCACCAGCTCATTTTCTGCGATAGAAATCTCTCCAGGGTTTTCAGAGCTGAAGTCATACAACACTCTGGCTTTCAACGCCATCATTCAACAGTCAGCTGCTTCTACCTCAATCCTGTTCCTGTTCTGGTTTTCCACTGATCCCGAGTTTTCCCAACTTTTTTTGTTCTCGATCCAACCTGGAAAAGCCCCCGGTCTTAACCCGGACTTTAATCTCCAGCGCCAGCAGCGACGAGACGATACTTTCTGTTTATCGCAATAATAAATGTGTTTTTCTCTTCAGCTGTCAGTCCTGTAAACAGCCTCACATATCCGTGCGTAAAAGAACCGGAGCAGGAGCGGCAGCAGGACACCCGACACGCACCTCCTCTCTCCGTGCTCTCCTCCTGCGGATTCAAATATCACTTGTTTCCACACAGAACTTAATCCAGTTCGGAAAATGCAATGAGAAACCTGGCCGTGACAGGAGCCGTTGTCCGACGACGCGAAGTGCAGCGGCTGCGCAATGCTGAACCCGATAAGAGTCTGGAGGAGGGAGGAAAAGAGGGATGGGAGGAGGGCGGGAGGAGGTGAAAGTTCTTTTTCCTCCTCTCTTTCTGAGATGCTTGTATGTCAAGAACAGCAGTCTTTACACGTAGGAGGAGGCCGAGATATGTGGGGTGGAGCCAGGGGCGAGTTGAGTCAAGTCTAGTCTCTAAGGGAAAAAAAAACACGCTTTGTCTTGAACAACATTCTGTGTAACTTTTTCTTTTCGAATATGAAAATATATGAGAAACTGTTTATTTATAAATAATCCAAATAGACTTTACTTTTTTTAAGTAGCTTTTTTGTTTGTGTTGAAAGTCTCCATGTATAATATAATATAATATAATATAATATAATATAATATAATATAATATAATGGAGTGAAAATCCCTTACGGGATACTGAAACCTCTGATGCGCACTTCCCCTGATTAGCCACCAGGGGCCAGTGTTATACAACACATATTTAGGAAATTGTGCAGCGTAGCCTTATTGTACTTCATGGAACTACAAATACAAAGTACTGGTTATAAAGTTATAATAAAGTAAACCTTAAAGGAAGTACATCTAGAGTACATTTTTCATACTTCCTTATACTTCATAGCTCGGTTTCTATAACAAAACTAAACAAAACTAAAAAATACGTATATTTATTTTTCAGTTCTCTATTTTGCCCCCTGGGAACTTTTTGGCAAATGTGTGCGAAACAAATATGTTGGGACATTGGTAAAAAGAGTTGCACAGGCAGAGGTGCCAGATTTAAAGGGTAAATGTATCGCACACGTGGTCTGAAATTATCGTTTTTTTGAGGAAAATGATGGAAACCTACCAAACCAAAAGTATCAAACCTATAGCTACAAACAATCAGCTTCAGTAGCGTTGTTTAAAACGTGAATATATTATTGGCTAAGTTTGATGTCAAGACGCTGCGGTATGTTTTTTTCGTTCAATCACATTTTGCGTCACAACGATTGGTGCTCTTTGATTGGCTATTGAAGGTTTGTGTTCTGCAGCGTTAATGAACCGTCCGTGTACTGAAGAGTCACATTACTGTACGATACATGATCTGGAGAATCATTGATCAAAGGGAGGGAACATATCGTACAATTACGATCATTATCGTACACCTGGTAACACCGGGAGCTAGCCTCTGTACTTGTTCATCACATGAGTTACTGTAACACCTGATAGAAATGTACTGACAGAATGAGTCACAGTCAAACTTTTCTGTTTGAGTTTTTAACTACACACTTTACAAGAACGTCATCATCACAGTTTCTACACAAAGAAATCTCAGAATTAAAAACCTGGAGAACACTTTATTTAGTCTTAGCATGATTGGCAACAGCGATTGCTTTCCAGTGACGGCGAAAAGGCAATGCAACAAATGTTGGACTTTTAATTCCAAAGTGTTTTTTAAAAACAGCAGCCGTATTTGACGCCCCGTCTGTGGCGTTGCCCTGAGAATGTTGCTGCGATGAGATGAGAAATGAGGAAAAACTCTACACACACACACACAGACCTAAAAGAGGAAACTGGCCACAACAGGGTCTTGTCAGCGTGGAGGCAGATAACGGTGTTAAAAATACAGTCATGACTCTGGCTCCAGGCGAGGGAGGACAGGGAGGATGAGGTTTCCAAAGGAGGAGTCCTGAGTGATGAAGAACCCTGAGGAGTGGGCATGTGCATGCTGCAGGAGGAGACACACGTGTGTGTTAATGAGGCAGAGTGAGGAACACACGTGTCCCTGTGTGTGTGTGTGTGTGTGTGTGTTTTACCTGCAGGGCCGCCTTTTGCTGCGCTGCAATGTGTTGTTGTTCTGCGTTGTCCCTGAAGTCTTTCAGACCCATCCTGAGAACACGAGAGCACAACACTTTCAACATTTAGCTGTATTTCATTGTATATGTAAAAAAAATATTTTACTACATTTACGGTTGATTTAGCTTTAGTTTTAACATGTGACTAACATTTAACAGATTCGCTTTGAGGTCAGTGTCATGTCCACGGCTCCAGATTTAACCTGAAGTTTCTATAGACTATTTCATATGGGCAATGACATCAATGACATCTTGTCCTCGGCCCATTGTCTGTTGTAATGTGCAGCGCCACCTGGTATTCAGTTCCAATTACTGAATGGTATATTATATCATTTATTTGGTATAAGTATCACACATCTGGATATTCAGTAAAATGTTCAGAGTTATGCAGTGTTGTGGGCGGTGAGGTCCAGACCTGGCTCCGGGCGTGTTGATGGCTGGATTCTGCAGCAGTCTCCTCCTCTCCCTCTCCAGCTCAGCCAGGATGGCAACACGGGTTTTGTTTGGAAAGGCTGCAGGTAAAAACGAAAGAAAAAAGATGACAATAACAACAACAAAAAAGATGTTAAAACCCTAAATATTACCACTATTAATATAATTATACTGGTGCAAAGTATGGGGAGATATAACATTAGCTTTGTTTAAAGATAAAATCAATTATACGTTTTTAAAAGAACGAGAGATAAAACCCACTCCGATTAGAAGTTTAACAACACGAGAGAAAAGACAGACGAACTCTATGATGAGTTCACGGGCACATGGGAATTCTACTACCATTCTGGCTTAAATGAACACATCATCGAAGATTTAGACATATTTCTTATCAAAAATACTAACCTTGTCCCGGGGGGTGGGCAGACATTTCAGTCTGAAAATACAGGTGAAAGTGTCAAAAACCTAGAGACGGTGTGTGTTGGTGTTTCTGTCCGCCCTGCTACGACAACACTGGCAGATGTGTGCGAAGAAGGAATGGAAAATACAATCGGATATAACGCTTGGTACACACTACAATTACGAGCTGATTCTCAGCAACGAACAAAGTTTAAAATAAGGAGAGATTTTGGCCGCGGCGAGCAGGAGATACCGCCTCACTTCAACACGAGCCGGGTTTAACGTTGGACGACAGGATATGGCTGATGTGAAGATGTCTTACTCTGCTCGTTTTCCGGTAAACCTTCATCAGAAAATAATTAGTTACAAAAGTCGACAAAGCAACTAATCGAAAAAGTCATCTTCTAAACGGCGAAGTATTGTCATAAAAGTATTACGAAACAAACTGTGGTGCGAGAAAATATTTACTGCACTTTTAAATATAAAAAATGATTTTAATTACAAATATTTAGATTATGTTTTTAAAATATAAGAAGTGTTAATAAAAATAAACTATAGTGAAAAAACGTTCAACACAATCCGAATTCGAAGCAGTACAACAATCGGTGGTTCATTTAAGGTGACGTGTTTGACTGGCAAGAAAAAACATACGATGACAAGATGGCGGTATAGACGATCTTCGAAGTCACCGACTGAGGCCATATGACGCGATTTGTTTACATCCGGGTCCTCAGGGGTGGGCTTCCGCAGCTGCGCGGTGACGGTCAGCTGACAGTTGGGTGACCAGCAGCCACAGCTGCAGTAACGGATGTGCAACATCTCAACCTTCCCACTACAGGCGACTGTGTTCGGTCTCCGCTCACCGTTTTCAGCCGCGGAGACTCGGACTGCCCTTTCCTGCCCTGCGGCCACGTCTTCCCGGCCTCCTGCAGTATGAGTGCCGGTGCTCCGAGAGGCCTGGCCAGCTCGGGGCAGAAGCCCATTGGGGAGATCCTCCATCCGCTCTGCGTCGCCGAGGAACCGCTGTCCCCGGGGCCAGATGTCACTGTGGACACCGAAGGGGAAAAGGTGATTTTTTTTTCTTTCTTCTTCTAGTGCTGAACCCGTTCGAACCGCGCAGCACCGGGCCAAGTGTTGTGGTTGAAGCAGCCAGCCGTTGGAGAGAGGACAAACCGGGCTAAACTGTGGTTATAGTGTAGTTACATGTCGAACCAACGGTAGTTTATTAGTTAAGATTTACGCCAATTAAAAACGTAACTTACTGTGTGTTAAATCTGTATGTTTCTGCGGAAGACGTTAGTTTGGAACTTGATAAAAAGAAAAAGGTTAACCGACATCAAAGCTATTTAAAACCTGCTTTGTATGTTTGTTTGTTTGTTTGAAAAAAATGAAAAGCAAAAAACAAACAGAGTTTATAGATGTGCTTAAGGACGAGATGATACCCTTTTAAATTAAATTACTCCATTTATCTTTTGGAAAATCTTACTTCCTTTTTGTATTTTTCACATCCTTTTCAATGTGGCTAACATTTAGCTATTTATGCAAAATTATAGTTAAGTGCTATGTTTCTACCTGTGCAGGATTTTAAAAGGTCAGGACGAAAGATGACCAGAAATAGTTGAAAACTCGTGGTAGCTGCCTTGCTCTTCTTGTCTTGAGAAGATTGATTTGTTTTCTCCCTCAGATGTTTCTGATGCACCTGAACACCAATGTTGGTGTCTATGACAAATGACTCTGGGCTGGTTAGCCTAGCTCTTAGCTGTCGTGGTGTGACGTTTGACTTGGGTGAATACCTTTTGAGTTCCTGTGTAACCCATTAAACCATCCAGTTGATCAGGTCGAGTAGAGGCGGACGCTTTTGGTTTCACCACAAATGGACAAAATAAATTCCAAAAGCCAAACATTTAAACAGTTTACGGACTCTTTAAAAACAGCTGCTGACTGATTTGATGGTCACGATTTTATTTTTTTTCTGTTTTGCTTCGTTGACTTATTGTCGCAGACCAGACTGAAGTTACAAAGTTTAATGTGACCTTTGCATGTTTACCCGTGACGTGAGATATTTTAGAAACCCAGACGTCAGCAACAGTCTTAGCTTCTCAACTGTGCAGCTATAAAACCACATCAAATGTCATATTCTGGTTTCATAGGTTTAATAACGTGTATATTTATGGTATCTATTTATATTTGCCGGCTCTTGGATGAAACCATCTCCAGTTCACACGTGGTTCTGACCCAATACTGATTGTGCACCCCCCCCCCCACCACCAATTACACTGTGTTCGTCATCCAATAGGGACGTGTCCCCCCCCCCCCTCCCCGTGACCAGCACAGATGTGCTGTGTAAACAACAATGCACACAGCAAACAGAGCTCACTGTCTGCAGACACTTTAGTTAATGATTGTCACCCGGAGACATGTGAATGTAACTCTACGTTTGGCACCTGCTTCTAGTTCAGCACCACAGACACACACACTATGATTATTATTGTTTTTTTTGTCCTGGTCTGTTGTGTCAGTAACGAACGAATGCTTTGTGTTTTTATACACAATAGGAATCTTAATCTACGGTTGTTTAGCATCGAGAAAAGAAAAAAAAAACACAGGTATAAACACTGGAATGGGGGACGGATGGATTCCATTCAGTTCAGTTCTGTTATTGTTGATTTCACTGTCATAAAACAGAACCGTTTCACTACAATTGTGCCAGAAACGTTAGCTTTATTCTAGGTCTTAAAAACCTGTCCAGGGTTCATTTTGAGTCCAGAGTGATTGTCGGTACGACGGCCAAAATGTCCACAGACGGAGAGTGACGGGAGGAGAACGTCAGTGTGTCTGTTCCTGGTACAGCTGTACATGTGGGGACACCTTTGGAGAATACTGCTGTTGTGTTTGGACCTCGTGTTTGTGAGGACGTCGGTCCAGGTCCTCACTGAGTTAGTTTGGAAAAGGATTAACGATAAAACACAGCAGTGATAGTTCAGGTTAGCATAAGGAGCTAGGAAATGTGTTATTAAGTCCATGCAAAACCTGTGTTTGTGTGTGTGTGTTTGATCAGTGTGTGTGGTAGAGTTAGAATAAAGAAAGTGAAGGAAAACACTTTTCTGGAAAAATGAACTTAAACATGAAAGGTCTCTCCAAAAAAAAAAAATCCAAACGTTTTGTTTGGCGTCTGGTAACTTTACGGCAGCAGTGAAAACGGGATCTGTGTCAACAGTCATTTCTATGGAAATTTACACAGATTTAAATCAAACTGCAGTCGAAGAAAAACCAACAAAGTTTGAACAGAGCAAATATTGAAGTGTAGATTATGTTATCATCTGCATACAGTTTGAGTAATACTGCAGTACGATGACAGTAAAGACTCTGGTGTTTAGACAAAGAAGGTTAACCGTCATCACCCAGAGTTCTCTGTTTTGCCTTTTCTTATTTTAAATAACTGATGATTCAGACGTGGTTCTGCTAATGTTCCGCTAACCATTCCTAGGCTAATGGTTGATTTCTTTTAGTTAATGACGATCATTTCTGTTCATATTTATGATAAAGTTTTTGGGACAATTTGACAAATTTGTAACAGTTAACTATTCTGCCATATTTTGTCTGTTATTTTGGTTGCCTCACTTTCACTGTAACATCGGCTCAAATTAGGTATTAGATATAACTTAAAATATTTTATTTTGTATTCTTAAAATACGTGACAGGAAAAGAAAAGATCTGTAGTAATAGAATTAGATGATGTAGAATGTGTGTGTGTGTGTGTGTGTGTGTGTGTGTGTGTGCGTGTGCAGCCCAAACAACAGTGTCATTGATTTAAAGCATCATCATCATCATCTCCTCAGCTTCCGTCTGTCTATCAGCTCTTTGTTGGACTTTGTGGACACACTGGTTTGACATTGTGTCCCTCACAGGAAGCCGTACTGACCAATGGCACGCCGGTCGAGACGTCCAGCCCCGCCTCCGCCTCCTCGCTCTTCAACAGGCTGCAGCTGGACGACGACCTGGAGGCAGACGGACGGGATCCGTACGCCTCCACCGAAGCCCACGACCTCTTCGTCACCGTGGACGACCCCAAGAAGCACGTGTCCACCATGGAGACGTACATCACCTACAGAGTGTCCACCAAGGTTTGGACACACTGGTCACACCAACTGTCCACAGTGACAAACACATTCACCAAAATATGGCAAAGAACTTTTAAACATTCGCCACGTCGTCCTCCGAGACTCTGAGACTCTGAACAAATATATTAACAATGAAACCTTGGCCTCAATATGATCAATCATATTAATTATTAGAAATCTCCAGCTGTAAGTGTCTGTGTCAGTGGCGCCCTCTACTGAACCTCTGTGCATTATTGTGGTTATAAATGTACAGACGTTGGTTTTCATGTTTGCTCTGGAGCTCAGAGGCTTCTGACAAATATCACAGCTTCATATGAAGATCAGTGATGGGGGGGTTTATGGGGGGGTATCTGTGTACAGTTGAAGGTCAACAGTTGGTACAGTGTCGTTGTAATTCTACTCCAGCTGTGAGGTTTCATGTTTGTGTGTTTGAAGGTTAAAAAAAAAAATCGATGTTTTAAGTAAAAACTTTTTTTTTTCCCAGACCACACGGATAGAATTCGATCTTCCAGAGTACTGTGTACGACGGAGGTACCAGGACTTTGACTGGCTGAGGATCAAGCTGGAGGACAGTCAGCCCACGCACCTCATCCCTGTAGGTCCAGACACAGAGAAGCTTCCAGAAAAACCTCACACAGATTTGTCAGAACCTTCCACGGTACATTCTCCTGTATGTGTGTGTGTGTGTGTGTGTGTGTGTGTGTGTGTCTTCAGCCGCTGCCAGAGAAGTTTGTGATGAAGGGCGTGGTGGACCGTTTCTCAGAGGACTTTGTGGAGACCAGGATGAAAGCTCTGGACAAGTTCCTGAAGCGAGTGGCGGACCATCCCGTCCTGTCCTTCAACCCTCACCTCAACGCTTTCCTGTCGGCCAAGGTGAGACGTCCACCGTCAGATCGTACACCCCGTCCTGAGTCAGACTCCAGAACTTTCCTTCAGCACCATTCTAGAATGTGGACTTTCTGAAGACCTGCTGTAGATGGTCGTCTTCATCCAGTTGTCTCAGCTCCGTTTAGGCTGAGGCTGTGGTTCGGCAGGAATCTGAGGATATGATACTGTGATACTGTGGTCACGACGATGTATTGATTTTTTTTTTTTTTCACCAATGTAACTGTAGTCAAAACATGTGAAATTGGTGTCGTTAAAAATAGCCACAAAGAACAAACGCAAACATCATGTGACCTTTCTCTCCCTCTGCGCCTGCAGGACCTGAACAAGCGTCAGGGTCTGGCCCTGCTCACCAAGGTGGGGGAGTCGGTCAAACACGTGGCCGGAGGCTACAAGCTGAAAGTGCGGCCGGCGGAATTCTGCGCCATGGGAGAATATCTGGACACGTTCAGTCAGAAACTGGGGACCATCGACCGCATCGCCCAGAGGATCCTGTTTTTGCAGTCAGGTGACGACGACGACGACGACATTTTGATTAGCAGCATCTTTATACCTTGAAAAAAAAAAATTAAAACTTGTGTTTTTTCTGCCTGCATCTTTTTGACTTATTTTCTGTGTAACATCAGGGCTAACTTTTAGCTAAATTTAAAAGCTAGCTTGTCACAAAAACTTGTGGTTGGATATTTCTAAGTATTTTAGTACTGAGTATTTATAGAAAACTTGTCTCCTGTAAACCAGAGTACCTGACCGAGGTGCGCGAGTACAGCTCTGTATATTCCAGCTGGGCGGGCTCAGAGGAGGAGCTGCAGCGCCCCCTGGAGGGTGTGTCGTGCACTGTGTCAAAGAGTTGCCAAGCTCTGGAGGACCTGAGTGAGAACATGGGCCAGGACTTCCTGCCGGTCCTGAGAGAGTACGTTCTCTACGTGGAGTCCATGAAGGTGAGACCCACGTCTGTTGACTGGACCACGTCTGTTGACTGGACCACGTCTGTTGTCCATGTTTTTTCCTGAGTCAGTTGTTTTTTTTGCACGTCATTTCCTGTCCCACAACCCTCTGACTCAGCAACCCTCTGTCTGATCACAGAACGTTTTGAGGAAGCGCGACCAGAGTCAGGCCGAGTACGAGGGGCGACTTGAAGCAGCAGTGCTGCGCAGACAGGAAGACAAAAGTCCCGTGAGTTTCCTCGTCCACAAACTGCCACGATCTCTCCTCTCCTCTCTGACGACTGTCGGAATATCAGTCAGGCTGCTCTGACACCCGCTGGGCCGCTGACCAGAGGTTGAAGCCTACGCAGACACCTGCTTGTATTTAAAGCTCGAGGAGCTTCAGTGAAACTGAAACACTTTTCCACAGTGTGTATAAACAACACCATGTGTTTACACTGTGTATTAGAGCCAATCTAAATGAACGGGTTTGGTTTCAGTCGTTCCGTCCAGGTGTTAAAATGTCTTCACATTTGAATCAAATTTATTCAAATTTCAGCAGTAGCAGTAACAGCAGCAGCAGCAGTAACAGCAGCAGTAACAGCAGCAGTAACAGTAACAGCAGTAACAGTCTCTGTGTCTGAATGTTTCTACTACGTATTGAACTGATGTGACCTTCAGACCTTCACACCCTGTAGCTGTAGTGTCCTCTGTGTGTGTGTGCGTGTGTGTGTGTGTGTGTGTGTGTCACTGCAGATCCCAGTGGAGGTGGAGAAGTGCCAGGACAGAGTGGAGTGTTTCAACGCTGACCTGAAGGCAGACTGGGAACGATGGCAGAGCAACAAGAGGCAGGACTTCAAACAGCTGCTGACGGGCGTGGCCGACAAGAACATCCACTACTTTGAGACGGTGGGAACATCGGACTTTAGTACTAGTGCCATACCAGGGACGTTCACCTGTCACTGCTGCAAAGTAGTAAAAAAAAAACAAAGTCGAACGACACAGTATAATTATTATCAATATTGTTTAAATATGTGTAAATATATATTTATTTATTTCTATATATATCCATATAATAAATCTACTTATACATACTGTATATATACATATATATCAGTCAGTGATGTAGATGAAACAAACTGATGGAGTCAGAGTCACAGAACAAACATCTTCATCATCATCTTCATCATCATCTTCATCATCCATGTTGTCACGTCTCTCTCTGTTCTTCTGACTCTACAGTGTCAGGCAGCCTGGGAGTCCTTCATCACAGTCCTGCAGGACAAACAGACTGAGGACAGGACAGGTGAGACCAACTGAGACCTCCACAGACCACCAGAGAGCGCCAGAGACCTCCTGGACGTCGGCTCCTCATCTTTGTCCTCAGATCGTCTCCTCTGTCTCTCCTCCTCATTTTTTCCCTCCTGGTCTCTCATGATGCCAAGGACAAGGACACAGACCTGAGGGACGGTGGTTCCAGAGGGGGACGTCCCACCTGAGACTGAGGTAACAAACGGTGCGTTCGAGGACATCAGGGAAGTTCCGTTTCCTGTGTTTCCTGTACATTAGGTTTTTTTTTGTCGTCGTTCGTTTTTTCTACAGCTTGAATTAAAAATCAACTTTTTTTTGCCAATATGTTTTTTCTTGTTTGTCACTTTCTGTAATAATAATAATAATAATAATAATAATAACTATTATTATTTTTATTACTTTGACACAAAGATGAAGTCGGTGAGAAGCTAATTTTTGCAGGTTCTTCAGATTTGTTTTTTTGCTTCACGTTTTACTGTAAAATCCTGTGAAAACTAAGGTTTTGTTTTTATTTTATAAACATTTTTACATTCACGGTCGACCTTCGCTGTTTCCCCACAAACGTCTCCAAACACAACAAGAGTTCAAGGAGCAGGAAATGGAAAGAGAAATCGAGTCACTGCGAACCATGAAGTCGGTTTTTATCATCGACATAAAGAAACATTTCAGACTCCTGGTGATTTTCCTGAGAGAAGTTGATGATATCTGATTGGCTGTGTGTGGAAACAGGGTGTTTTGTTGCCAGCCCCTGCTGGTCAGCTGCGGTAGTGCAGCTAGAACTCTAAACTCATGTCAGGACCTTGACTTTTGACCTTTTGCAGAAGCGTGGTCCAAGTGAGACGTATTAGCACAAAAAGGACAACGGTCGCTGTTTCAGCACCGTGTTTGTTGTTTGTCAACTCACCAGTAATGGGTGAGACAACGACAACAACAATGGGTGAGAACAACAACAATGGGTGAGACAACGACACAGGTGTTGATAGAACCGTCACCCCGACACCACAGAACTGTTCGTACCACAGAAAGTTCTACTTCTGTCTGTGTGCCTTCAGAAATGATCACTTGTTCTGTTCATACTTTGAATATGTTGCAACAGCTCCGTCTGGTGGTCATAATGTTAAACATCAACAGTTTTTGTAACTTGATTTTTTCTCTGATTCTAAAACGGTGAAATATTCACAGAGTGATTTTCTTGTTTTTCCATCAGAATCAAATTTGACCTAGAACTGGGAAATACTGCACCCTAGTGGATTTTGGGGGAAACATAAAAAAAGAAACACTTGTTGACAGGTTTATTTGTTGGTGAAAATTTGAATCAAGAATTTTTTGTTACAAGTTGACCTTGACCCTCACCATTTTTTACATGGGGGGTGGGAGAGGGTTAATTTGCATATTTAATTACATAAAAACCTCAACCTCTTTTTGAAAAACAGGAAAAAGAGAAAGTGTGGGCAGAGTTGCTGCAGAGACATGGACCAACTGACACCCCTAGTGGCCAATAAAATGACTGAAGGGAAAAGCATTTGTTCAGGTTGTTTCTGCAGCTGATCTATTTCATGGATTCTTCTGCCTTTTTTTTTTTTTTTTTGCTTTTGCACATTTTATAAAACATAGAAAAATATTTTTCAGTTTAATTTCCAACTTTTTTGACCCAGTAAAAATAAGCTGCTGCTTCACTGAGCCTGAGATGAAACCAATGGAGTTTCTTTTTTTTTTTTTTTTTTTGCTGACGACACTTCACAAACACTGAGCGTCGTTATAACCACAATTAAACCAGAAAACATTTGTAAAAAAACAAGACAAACATCGACGCCTCAGAATTTCATTTTGTCATTATTTTTTCTAAATTTGAACGTAAAAAACTTTTTCTTTTGTGATCATTATTTTATAGCCTGTTTTTTTGCGACCTTTATCTGCGTGAACAGTTTCTGTTCTGTTTCCTTTTTCAACCCATTTTGTCGACATTATATCAATGATTATAACAATGAACAGAACATTGACATTTGATTTTGTCGACATTATATCAATGATTATGAACAACAACAACAATGAACAGAACATTGACATTTATTATTATTTGGACTTGTTTCTCGTCAGTCTCTCTGTGTCGATTGGTTCGTTTCTCTTTAACCTTTAGCCAGTTCTCAGTAAACTCCTGTTTCTCCAGTACGGTTTAGCTACTTTTGCTACATGATTTGCTAACTTTTAGCATGCGCTCACTGAAGACACGTTGTAAAGTCCACCTGATAAAACGATAAACTGAAGATTGTTCGCTTTTTCTTCATTTCTGTCTCGGCACAAAATGAAAGTAGCGACAAAAACAAGTCATCGGTTCTTCCGATGTTGTTTCCAACTGAACGACGTTCTCCGCGGCCAAATCTGACGGGATTTTTTAGTATAATTTATCTCTGACGATGATCCAGCTTCTCAGAGTCTCATATTATACTTAGTTCCTGTTGATTCACACAAATACATGGATGTAGCGCCACCTCATGGTGGAAAAATCACAACTTGCTGAAGTTGCCAAAATCCGATTATGTTTCCGTTGAGGCAGGTTGACCTGATGACCTGGAGGATGAAGGAGCGACGCCTGATTCTCTGTCCTGTTTTTCGTCCCTGATGTAAATACACAGATTTGGATGTAAAAACATCTGCTTGTAATTAGAAATAAATAATCTTGTACATTGATGGTGATTTTGATGCATTTTATCTTTTTTGGAAGAGACAATAACGGACCAAAAATAAAAGAGTGGATTTGACTTTTTCCTTATTTGTTGTTGTTTTTTTTATTTTATTTTCAAATGTAACGTAAAGTTTATTAAGAATTTAGAATCGAAGCCTGGAGTCAACAGATGGAATCATTTAATCATGAAATTCAGCACGAAACCATGACGGAGCCTCATCCTTCATCCATTGAAGATCCCAAAAATTCCATGTAACATTTTCCAGCTTTTACTTTTCCATTGTTTTCTATTGATTTCCAGACAATTTCTGCATATTTTGTTAAAAACACCTTTACATCAAAGCACAAAAACTTCCAAAAAAGGAAGTGGGAAAAAATAAGTCTTTTATTTACATGTTTGTTTGTATTCAAAGTTTAATTTAAGTGGTTATTTACATGTTTGTTTGTTTTTTTGCTAAAGAAAATAGCAACTTTCTGCTCCTCACATCTGGTTTAAACTCAAACTGAAGTGACGACGAGGCTAAAACTGCGGCCTCTGAAATATTCAAAGTTTATTTAAGTGAAATCAGAATCAGGGCTGAGCAGAGTGTGTGTGTGTGTGTGGTCAATAATATAAAATCCTTAAAATAATCATCATCATCATCATCAAAACTTACCAGTGTTTCTCAACCTGCTGTGTCAGAACGTAAGGAGAGAAAAAAGAACAAAAACAGACTCTGGTTTTTGCTGAGTCAAAACTAAAAATGTGCAGAGTCATTTTTTTTTACAATAACATTCCAGGAGCGTTTGAGGAAGTTCTCCGTCGGGGACTTTTCACCTCAGACCGAAGCGTCTCAACCTGCTGTTGAAATCACTGTGGCATTGCCGCGGAAAAGTCACTTCTTCTTGTGATGAAAGTTTGGTGAGATCGGCGACGTTTCCTCTTCACTGTGGTCAAACGTTCCTCACGCTCAGATGTTCTCCACCAAGGGGAACGTCATTTCCTCTCTGTCAAAGGAAGTCCGTTCTCCATGTTTCACGTCCTCTTCTCCTCCTTCTTCTTCTTTTTCTCTCCGTTCAGTCCTGAATGTCTGTGCTGCAGCGCCCCCGCGGTAACCTGCAGCTACTGATACTGCAGCGAAGAAACCAAAGAAGACAGAAAAAAAACCCCGTCATTTTTGGAATTTAGACTGAAGTTTAGAATAAAAAAATAAACATCTTAATGTTAAATATAATCAAATAATTTAGTAAAACAGTTGGTAAATTTAGTTAACACTTTTTCAGGATTTTTATTAAATATAAAAGTCATAATAATCGTCATAATCTTAAACATCCAGCACCAAGTTCCTAAAACTGCTTTAAAATGTTGTATAAAAATAAATACGTAGTTAAATTTCATACAAAAACCAAAGTCCAAAAACTTTGACAGTAACTTTGAAAAATAAAGTTAAAATAAAAATATAGGAATAGGTAAAAATCGAGGTTAACTATTAGCTAAATTAATTTTATAGCTAATAGTTAACCTTATAGATAAATGACAACAGACGCGCCCACTGACGACAGACACACCCACTGACGACGGACACGCCCACTGTCGATATAGCTAATAGTTAACCTTATAGATAAATGACAACAGACGCGCCCACTGACGACAGACACGCCCACTCACAGCACTTGACTCTTTCGCAACACACGCAGTACACGAGTACTTCATATCTGTAAATAAACACACATGAAACGGTGCAGACCGAGTACCTGATGGGTATCATGGCCAGGACGGTGAAGACGCTGGCCATCAGGAAGACGAAGCCCGGGAACCAGGTCAGAGTTCCCTGGTAGATCTTAGTGAAGGCAGGCAGGTAGGCCAGGGACGCCAGGGTGAAGGAGAACTGCAGGGAGGTGAGAATGGTGCCTGATGGGAAATGAGGAGGAGACGTCAAAAGAGTCAACCAGCAACAGTTCACACCTTTGGAGTGTGTTTTTATGTTTAAAGAATAGTTTGACGACGAGAGCATTTCTCTGTGTGTGTGTGAACCTGGTGTAGCTATACCTGTGACACTATAGTTGTGGGGACACTTTGACTTTGGGGACGTCGTCCTGGTCCCCACTGACCAGGTGTGAAGTTAGGATTAGAATTATGGTCAGATTAAAGTTAGAGTAAGGATTAACATTAGTCCAGGTGTGTGTGTGTGTGTGTAGGTACAGCGATCCTTGTGGGGACTGTGTGTGTGTGTGCAAACAAATAGTTAATGTGTCGGAGCAGGAAACAGGAAGTTAATAATTCTACTGAAAGACAGCGTTCATGACGAGGAGTCACATCTGTCATCCACTGTGTGGATTCATATTGAGGGAGTTAATTATGATCTCGTCATATGTGTGTGTGTGTGTGATCAGATTAGAACAGGGCGTGTGTGTGTGTGTGTGTGTGTTTGTAGAGGCCACTGACGTGACATCATCGCAAAGTCACCGGACAAAAAAAAACCTGGAAAAACCCTGATAAGCAGCAAACTGAGTAATGAACCAGGAAACCAGTGACGTTCCAGTCGCTGGTCCGACTGGTTCCGACTGGTTCCGACTGGTTCCGACTGGTTCTTGAACAACAGCTCTGATCAAAACCTGTTCCTCTACAAAAACAAAACAAGAACCGTGGGACGAAGAAAATGTCCTCGCTGTCGTGTCAGGACCTGGTTTCATGTTCTCAGATGATGGGTTCACACACACACACACACACACACACACACACACACACACACAGAGTCAGTCACGTCACACACTCACCGTACGAGGACGGCGCCACCTGCTGTGAGAGCAGAGATCTGATGGTCGGCAGCGGGATGAGAGCGAAGAGATTCAGCGATCGAGCTGAAAGACAGAAACAACGTCACGACGTTTACACGAAATTATCACGACACTTAAATAAAGTCGGCGGAAAATGAACCACAGAATCGCACAAGTGATATCTGTCATTTCTTACTGTCCACTAGGGGGTGTATGATGGTGTGCACGTCTACAGGTTTCAGTTCTGGCTACAAATGTTTACAAGTTGAAAAAAAAAACAGCCAGTAGGTGGCAGTAATGCAGGATCTTTGATTGGGCAGGAGGGGGGGTCAGGATCAGGTCAAAGGTCAGGAGGAAACTCTCAGTAAAACTATCTTTGTGTCTTTCCGTCTCACCGAGGTAGAACATGTACGTCGCCGTGACGAAGGACATGAAGTAGATTCCCGAGGCGAAGGACACCATTCCGATCAGGATGAGCGAAGTGTCTCCGACGCAGCGGCGAAACAACATGACACCCAGAAAGCTGGTGAGGAAAATGGTGCAGCCGGCTGCATTTCCGTAACCCACCTGAAGGGGGAGCAGAGGAGTTCAGATTCCGGAAATACGACGTAAAAAATTCCTTTACGCACCGTTGCTTACCTGAGTGGCGTTCCAGCTCAGCGGCTCCTTCAGTACAAAGACGCCCAGGATGGTGATGGCGCCACCTACTGCAAAGTCGTACAGGATGGCTGCCGCGAAGAGTAGAACCACGTTGACCCAGTTTATTCCCGCAGGAGCCTCAACGCTAGCGTTAGCATCAGGTTGGTCGTCATCCTCCACCGTGTGACAGAGGGAGTGGCTCTCGTCCGACTCGGACGTAGACACGACCTTGACCTTTGACCCATGACACAACATGAACACACGTTAATATCAGTATATATATATAGAACACCAGAGCGCCACCTGGCTGACTCCCCTGGTACAGCGGTAGCAGCTACACGTGGCTTCACCGGCCGTTTTGGGGTCTTCCGCCCCCAGCCGCCCCCCCCCCCCCCTCACCTGCAGCATAAAGATGGCCAGCAGGAGGGCGACGAGGTGCAGCAGCGAGCTGACGATCAGCAGCACGACGCCGTGGCCCAGCGTGGCGTTGAACAGCGTGAACAGGTGACCGGACACCAGACTGCCGACCACGCCCGCTGCTCCGTACAGAAGCTCCACCCTCATCATCACCTGCAGCACGGACAGGAACACAGCCACAGGAAGTACTCTGTCAGTACTGCAGTAGTACTGTAGTACTTGTACTGCAACAGCTGTAGTATTCATTACAGTACAAGGGTAGTTAAAAGAGTTGTATTGGTAGTATTACTAGTTCTAGTCAAAGTCATAGTTTCACAGTTTACTACTGTCAGTACTCAGTACTTTTAAGTACTAATATACAGTATAATATAATATAATATATTCAAACTGGAAGTAAAAGAACAGAACAGTCTTTACTGTAAGTGTCCAGCAGGGGCACAACGCACCACAACCAGAAAAGACAAAAGAGAAAGTACCAGGAAAATGTCAACTGTGAACATCATGGTACTGATGTTGACAGTTTGTAGTACTGTTTAAAAGCAGTACTCGTTGTGGTAATTGTACACGTATTTGTAGTAGAAGTGGCATCGACTGTCTCAGAAGTTGTAGTTCTAGCTTTTATCTCGCAGTAATAGTTAGTAGTAGTTAGTCATAGTTAGTCATAGTTAGCAGTACCTGTGTTGCTGGTACTCACCTTGGACCGGTCTGCCGTCGTGGACCTCAGCGACACCAGCGTCATGACCCCGGGCCAGAAGGCGGTGAATCCTCCGCCGAGACCGAAGAGAACCGCGCCCGCGAACATGACCTGGATGGGCAGCCGCAGCAGGAGGACCAGCAGCAGGCAGAGTCTGCTCAGCAGGTACCCGCTCAGAGACACCACGATGGGGCTTCTCCTCCAGCCGCGGTCGCTGACTTTGCCCAGCAGCAGAGCCGGGAGGATGGGCAGCAGCCGGAGGATGAGGTTGTAGCTCAGGTAGAAGTCGCTCATAGCCTTCTGCCGGCTCTCCTCCGGGCTCAGACCCGGGTAGGAGGCGTTCGAACACTGGTCCCGGACCAGCAGCTGCAGCGCGGTGTCGAACAGGCAGTTCCCGAGCTGCTCCAGAACCAGGATGGGTTCGACGTGCCGAAACACCGACAGCAGAGTGTTGAACCCCTCCAGGAGAACCATTATTATTATTATTATTATTATTATTATTATTATTATTTTAAATAAAGTTTATTCTTTAAAAGTTACGTTAACTAATATTAATAACCAGTCGCCACCAGTTGAGCCACAGCTCGTGTCAGTGACTGGTCACAAATACAGAAGCTGATGCTGTTGACACACGGCTCAGGGTGAACCAATCAGACACGCCCACTTCCCATTACGTCATCAGTCTAAAACACGGAACCACCTTCTCAGGTATGTCGTCCAGTTCGTTTAACCCTTACAGCAGCCCTCAGTGTGACGTCATGAGCCGGAGGTGTGTAAAAGGAAGTTTGAATTAGAATAATATATATTTTTTTTATTATTAATATAAAACAACCAAAACATTTTCACAACAAACAACAAAAGCCGAGTTAGCGTAAATGTAGCTAAACACAGACCAGGAAACACTTTAATACGTTTCAGTGACTTTTTTAAGTCGAGCGAATGGCGCGGTGAAATTCCGATAGAATAAATACATTTGTAAATCGTCAAAATGGAGCAAAATTTAGTAAGATGTTTACAAAGTAATCAAAGAATAACTAAAAAAAAGAAGAGTAAAACTGACTAAAATCCTGATCCGTTTAGTTGAAGACAACCTTGATTTACTGGCAGGAATTGAAGAAATACACTCACGAAGGTCTTCTTCAACAGCTTATTTTCTTTAGATTTAATAGCCCTCTGCTGCCACCTAGCAGGAGAGGATTTAATTGCTCTGCCTGTCACGCATTGATGAACAAAGAGAAAAATATTTACAATAAATAAATAATAAGTTTTTTGATCAACTGAGTGACGTTGGATATGTTTCCACACTGGTGTTCCGAGTGGGCCTCGCCCCAGTGGTTGGGAATCACTGTTCAAAACTTTAGCTGAACTTAATGTAAAAGTTAAAAATTCAGTTTTCGAGTGTTGACATTTAGACGAAACTTCAGTCGAGCAAAAGTGAAAGAGCAAAAGTGAAAAACTTCAGTCGAGCAAAAGTGAAAGAGTTAAAACGTCAGACGAACAGAAACCAGTCAGAAATCCAGGACTTTTTTCATGTTTTGTTTTTAAATGAGAAAATATTTAATGGTACAGTTTAATAAGTGTGAGCCTTACATGGTTTTATCAAATATAATAATAATAATAAGTGGTTACACACACAGACAGAGGTTATACATGAGTCTGCCGCTGGAGAAGAAGAAGAAGAAGAAGAGGAAGAAGAAGAAGAAGAAGAAGAGGAAGAAGAAGAAGAAGAAGAGGAAGAAGAAGAAGAAGTGACGCTGTTTCCTCCGCAGCCCGACAACATTTTCACAATAGAAGCGTCCGTTTTTGACGCTTCATAACAATAAGGTCACCGTCGTCGTTGGTCGATCAGACGATTACAGCTGGTCCTGAGTTTCACGTGTCCATTCACACTAACTGCAGTGAATCATGCTCAGATCAGGTCGCTGTAAAAACAAGCAAGTCATCGGGAAAACATCGAAATCCTCCATTTTCCACCGTCACGTCTTCACGACAGCCACAAAAATATCTCAAAAATATTCCGTAGAAACACTTCCTGTCGTCACGGCGGCAGCGTGACGTCATTAATTCTCCTTCTGTACATTTAATCATAAAAAGACACCAGTTCCTTTAAATACTGTTTTCTCCCGTTTTATATATTAATAAAAGTTTATTAAAAAAAAACAAAACACGGAAAGAAGAAGCTGATGTGAGTTTCTGTCCTGGTCTGACAGAGAAGTCCGAGTGTTGGTTCTACAAAAACGATTTACGACACTCATCTGATTGTGTTTGTTCCTAATTACGAAAAAAACAAAACAAAACAAAAACGTTAGAAACTTCTGGTTTCTTTTCGGTTCTTCACTTCCAAATGACTAAAGTTACATGTTTGATTTTTTTGGCATTTCGTGTTTTAAAGATCTAACGCTGCGGATGACGTCACCAGGAATTCAGCTTAAAAAAAAAAGAATATTTCTTCTTTTGATCATTGAATCTTTTGATTTGTCAGTCATTCACATGCTAAATTAATTTATCGGTTTTAATGTGCAAATATTTAATTAAAAATGCATTTTATGGAGCTAAAAAAAACGTTTTTGAATTCACACCCTTTGAAGTAATTTTTAAATAAGTCAAAAATAATTCCATGGAGTTTTTAAGTTGTTTTTTTCTTTAGTAAAACTCATCAATGTTAACGATGTTAATGACGTTAATGATTGACAGACGCTGAAGGACAGCGGTGATTAGAACTGTTTCCTTTGGTTTTACAGGATCCTAACACTGAAATCATCTCCGAGGCCACGTTGATTCTTCAGAATCTCTGGTTTTACAAACATTCACTCATTAATACTTTCACGCGTCGTCACGGCGTCGATTCTTAGTTTCTGTGTCACAGGAGCAGAAACAACGTCCACAAAAAAACAAAACAATTCCACTTCCATGTTGGTGAAGGACAGCTGTGAGTTCAGAGGTCGTCGTCTCTTTGTCAAAGGTCCAAAAATGATTACAATTCCACGCACACCCTGAATGCAACACAACCTTCTCTTTAAATATCAACATTCTCTTTTGGTATATTAGAAAAAAACAAATCCATTCAACGTTCTATCCTCGGCTACTGTAGTATAGTGGATAAAGTACACACTCATATATATCAAATACACAGTCCTACCTCAGTAATACACAAGAAAACCACTGCTGAACTCAGAGAGCACAGGTGGGTTCAGCAAAGGTCAAAGAAGTGATTGACCTTTTAGTTAAAAAGAAAAAACCCGGACTCAGCCTTTAACTGTAATACACACACATGACCTGCAGGTTCAGCCCTTTGACCTTCAACTTTAACCCCTAGCTAAGATGTGACGTAATCAAAAAGACCAGTAGAAAGTCGTCGTTGATCTTCTCCAAACCTGGGGTTCCCGACCCTTCAGGGGACCACGGACCCCGTCCTCACAACAGACACACAGACCAAACACAAGGATGACTTACTGGGTACTTGAAGTATTTGTATTGTAGTATCACAAACTGTTGCTTTCGGCTGTGATGTCACGTGATGTCAGAGTTTCTATTGGCCCAAAATTAGCTCGCTGTTACCTCATTGGTGCAAATGGCACAAACGCTGCAGTTTTTCCAATAATAGCGCAAAATTTTATCCTTGATGCAAAATATTTCAGGGGCCCCTTGACGATGGACACCCCCAGGGCCAGGGCCCCCCTGTTGAGCACAACCTTTGCTCTGCACTGTAATACAACTTCATGATGAACGCGTGGTGCGTTCAACGACTACTGAAGCGTCAGCGGTGCATTCACGTCAACAAAGACGAGAAAGAAACTCCGGTTCAAATTAGAATAGAGATTGATCTGTTGGACGACAACACTGATTGGTTCAGGAGTCAACCAACCAATCAGAATGGGTTCTTTGCCGTGGACGATCTCTGATCACCAGACTCTGACACTTTAACTCTCAGGATTAATCGATCAAGACGATCACC